AAATCAGTGACCATAAGTCTAACATGTTTGTGCATTTATGTATTTAAGTTGCTGTCACTGGGATTTGAAACCCAATGATATTATGAGTCTAAAATCCTTTTCTTCCCCTGTTATTTAACTTGCATATTCAGATTATAATAGTAGACTTTTGACCAGGAGCAGCTGCCTCCACTAAAAATTATATCTTTGGCAAGTATTTCCATTCAGTGTATGATACAGAACTAGTCCTTTCCTAAAATCAGAAATAATTATGTAGTAATTATGGAGAATACTGTTCTGTCTTGATCAGCACATCACCTATGCCTCATCAGAAATGGTGACAAACTGCAAATGATAAATTTATATCCAGAGAAATCAGTTTGAGACAATGCTGGTGGTTTTGTGTTTATATATATATATACATATATAAAAAATCTCAAGTAATTGTACACAGGTTTTAAAACACAGAAAACTTTTTTGCCTACAAGACATAATCAAGTACCATTTGCCTTCTACTCTAAATGTCCATCATCTAGAGCCAAACTGGAAGGAGAGTATAAAGGGACTAATCTCCAGACACTTAGTTTTGCTGAAACAAGCACTGACCAGCTTAAACATGCAGCAGAGTTGGTAGTTTGGGAGTACTGACTGATAGATGAATTCCTCATTTGTTCTTCAGGGCTCAGTGCAACATTTATATGGCTTTGTTATTTTTTTCTGTGTTTTCAAATGAAACCTTTTTTTCCCCTCTGGCTTTCTTATCTATTGCTCTAACTGCTGCTTACATGAAAAATTACCTCATCTCTATGGCTGGAGCCAGGTTTTCTATCAGCTGCAATAAAGTTTCCTCATTTATTTAATGAGTCTGGATAGGTAGGAAATGAAGTATTAGAGGCAGCAGATGAAGAAAAATAAACCAGAATTATCTGTATTAGGTTACCAAAAAAAAAGGTGGGGGGGAGGAGGTTGGAGGAGGGGAATGATCTGTATTAATATAGTCGATATGTGTAATTGGTATTCAGATTATGGCATGGTTATTGCCCTGCAGACAGGAGACTTGGTTATCACTCAGGCATCAGCCAAGTAGCTGCCTTCTGTGCTCATCTCATCTCTAAAGCTGAGAGAGGAGCTGGTTATTATCTTCAAGTGGGGTTATTAATGAGGGGAAGAATCAGCCCCAATTACTGTGAAGCAAAATATTTCAACATTTACATATCGGAGGCTTCAGTGTTGATCTAGTCCTGCGTGAGTTTTTAAGCTCATCTCTGTTCACTTCTCAGACCGTTCCCGCAGTGACACGACGATGGCAACGTGCACCTGCCCCGTGCCAGCTGCCCGCGAGAGCGGCTCAGGGCACGGAAAGGTGTCACATCCCGCCCGTGCGCCACCTGGGACTGAGTCCCACGGAGATACCGTGATGTCCCCCTTTTTTTTTTCCTCCAAGTATTGATGCTTCTGAAATTAATGGTTTCTAAGCTTTGAGTATGAAGGTCCTGGTGTGCAGTCCGTGCCCCATAAAGGTGATAGTTTAAATGCAGTTAAACGCGCGGCCGCGGTGTGAGCCGGCAGGAGCGCTGTCAGTGTCAGCGCTGCGAATCCATCCATCAGCACCGGCGCCGGGCCCTGACCTTGGCAGCTTCCGGAGGCAGAGACGTCAAACACAGTCTGCAGGCGGCTGAAAATGTAGCTACCAGACAAAGAACACGCAATAATTGCACAGCTGTTCTAGGAGATTACCGATTTCCTAGAAAACAGTGCGTCGGTGGCCTGTGGACGCAAAAGGAAACTTCCTTTTCCTTCATCCCTGAGAGCCGTCAGGCACGGCCTCTGGAAATTTTTTGCCCCTTTCAAAGCCCAGAGAGCCTGTAACTGGCCAGTGTGTATTCTCCTATGGCATTTATGCCCATTAAATAATGCTTAGTTGATTTACAGCGAAACTGCTGCAGAAAGGGCTGTCTTGGACAGCCACATAAATATTAAATTAATTTATTGTGAAGGATGGCTGCTATTACACGAAATATTAAATGAATTCATAATACTTGGACGTTTGCTATAAATCATTGCTGGGACTGCATTCTAAAACTCCATTCCAAAGAGTACTTTTTTTTTTTTTTTTGGTAATACTAAAACCATGGAAAAAGAAAAGACTGGTTTCTCTCAGAGAAAAGTTCCGCTTTGAAACATTAACGCATCCCCCCAAGGACTAGGAGGAGCTTTAACTTAGTCCCGTTTTCAGAGACGCAGGAGGAGGCCGGTGAGGTTGGGCTGCTGATCGCAGGAGGCCCAAGCCCAGCGTGTCCCTCGTGTCAGACGCGGCGCTTGGTCATCAGCTCCCAGCACCCTTCGTTCGGCTGGAAGTGCTCGGAGAAGCGGCCACGGAGCACCGGAAGAGACGGAGAGTGTTTGCCAGACCTGGTCAGAGAGAGAGAAAGGTGGATGCACCCAGGCCCCCAAACTGTTTAGTATCAGCTCACCTCCAAATATCTTACCCGAGGCCATAATGGGAAGAATGGGACTCTCTGGTTTTGTCTAGCAGGTCTAGGCTCAGTAATTGCAGTAGAAGGCATCTTGTTCCTTTAGGGAACACAGATTTTAATCTTGGAAGTTTTGTAAAATGCCCAGTTGACTAAACAGAGACTGAAAATCTTTTCTTTATGGTTTTTCCTTTTGTCAGAACAGAACAAAGGGTACATTAGTATTTTCGTTATAGCTTTCTATTATCTGACAGATAGTAGCTTGAGTGTAGAAATTTATGCTCTGAGTAACCTTGTAGGGTTGAAGCTGTTGTTTTTATAATCAAAATTGAATGACTGACAGACTCAGCTGCTCTTTAATATACAAATGGATGCGAATGTATGTATTTCCCTCTATCCAAAGATTTTGCTTCTCTGCTTTTAATGGTCTAAGACATACAAGGGTTTTTCTAAAGAGCACTTGCCAAGGTATTTAAATTAGAAGCAAAAATTAGAAAGGCTGCTACCACCTAGGAATATTAATTGTTCATTACACAGGGCTTTAGTTCACACGGCTGCTTTGCACATGCCAAGCTGCCAATTAAGGCGCCGCGAAGTGCTCCCTGCGGCACAGCAGTCGCGTCCCCGGGGCCGGCCGCACCGGGCGCCCTCATCGCCAACCTTCGGCACCTCCCCACGCGTGGGGACGCCGGGGGCTGGCAGCCTTCGGGTCGGTGTTTTCACCCACCCGCCACAGGGAAAGCAGTTTTGCAGTGGGGTTGGCCTAGCTGATCTCTTGAGGTCCCTTCCAACTCAACGATTCTGTGATTCTGTGTGTTTTCGTGCAGAGCTTTGCAATCCGATGTAATGATGACGGCAGCAATATCTCTTAACTGAGGAGTGAGGGAGACACCAAAGGTGTTTCTTTCGGTGAATTCCTAGTACCTAGCACCGTGCTCACAAGGCTCGCTTTCCATCAGGGAAAGAAGAGGTTTGCTGGAGAGGCTGGCTCTGCTCGTCTGTTGTTTCCACAGGAACTAATTTAGGGAATTTCGGCCTGATGGTGCCGTATGGCTGGTCTCCCTTGGCTTCCATGGATTCTGCTTGGATGAGCATCATCCTGGCAGCAGAGATCCATTAATCTGTGTAGTAACTCATAAATGACAAACGTCCTTTAAACAGAGCATATGGCTGGGACCTGCAATGTGCAGGAGCCCGGCGTCTGGAAGCTGAGCTCAGGCTCCACTCTTTAAAAATCAGTGGACATTGTCTCTGTAATAAGGCTGTGCTTCAGTTTTTCTTTTTCATGGCTTAACATGTCCCAGCTCTCTCATGAGTCTATGGCAGCTAAAGAGAGCCAACAGGAGAACTTGGAATATCTCATGTCTCTGCTCCCTAAGTTCTCTTGCTGGCTTACAGTAAGTCTGAATATCTTCCAAACACTTATATTCAGCTTATTGTAGTCTTTCTCCTCCTCTTTAAAGCTGCTTTGAGAAATGACTTCAGTAATCGGCACATAAAATAGCATCATTTTAAACCTTACACAGGACATTTTGTCTACACAGAATAAATAAACTGCTGGCTTGAATTTCCAAGGAGTGTTTCTGCTGGAAGACAGATAGGTTGTTTCTGGCCCATAAGTATTGCAGTTGCTGGATCTTTTTCCCCCTGGGATCCCATTATAGAACAAATTATCAAATACAGCTAAACTTCACAGCCTTGAGTCTCTCAATATAGTTTTGGGTAATGGTTTGAACTTCTGATAGAAGAAAAAGATATCTAACAGACTTTTTGCAAAACTTATCATGTGGTTAAAAGATGGAAAATCTAATGCACGGCATTGAGGTTATCCTGGTTGCAACTCACGCTTCACACTGTGCAGCACGTTCCAGAAAACGGCCAGTTGCTGCACACAACACTCCACCTAAAAACCCCAAAACCTCCTAGCTAAAGGAGAAAACACTCTGCAATTAAGCATGTATGTGAGGTAGACATGTAGTAGAATTTTCACAGCATTTTAGGGTATGTAAAATTGAATACATTCCTCCATCAACAAAACTTGATCTTTTTTCCCTTTTCTTTTTTTTGCATTATTTGAAAGAGCACTTTATTTTGTTTTCATTTGTCTGTAGCCAAAAAACATTTTAAAATGTTGACGTTTCCTATAGGCTGACGCTGTACTTGGTGATCGTGAATTTTGTGGTCTCCGTTCAAACACGGAGATGATGCTCTCCTGGCACTGGCACAGCAGGAGAAGTCACCCCCGCAGGGGAGGGAGATGGGAGTAGGCCCAGCCGCAGGATGGAGGGCTGCTGAGTGAGACAGGGACCGTGAGTGGGGCCTCAACAGCAAGGCTCAGATCCCATGCCGGAGCCAAGGCCGTTCCGGAGGTCCCCCGCCATGGGCAGCGAGACCTTCCCGCAGCAAAGCGGAAGGAACCAGGGTGTCCACTCACTCTTTGTGTGTCCTGTGGTTGCTTTCCAGAAGGAGAAGAAGAGTGGGCTGCTGAAACTGCTGGCAGGGGCGTCGACGAAGAAGAAGCCCCGCTCGCCGCCGTCCGTGCGGCTCGTGCCCCATCGAGAGCGAAATGCAGGGAGCCATGGGCCTGGAGCCTCTGCACAGGAAAACGGGCTCCTTGGATTTGAATTTTTCCATCCCTTCTCCTGCCCGGCAGCCCCTCTCCTCCATGGCAGCTATCCGGCCGGAGCCGAAGCCCTTGCCCCGGGAAAGGTAAGCGCCGCGTCCCCGTCCCTGTTGGTCGGCTGCCCCCAGGGCAGCACGGGGAGGAAAGGCACGAGCTGGGCCCTTGGCCTGCACGGGGCCTGCCCTGCTGTCGCGTGTGGCGAGGGGGCTCGGGCCCTTTTGCAAGCAAGCGAACAGCACTGCTGGCAGTGGGGGCAGCAGGGGCTGCTCCTGGGAAAAATGAGATCTCTGTGCTCTGGGGAGCTCACAGAGCAGCCACGCGGGGCTCCCTGCCTGGGGACAGCGGGGAGACGTGTTTGCTCATCAAGGCCCTTGCTCTGCGTTACCAGGGCCTGCTTGAGATTCCTGCTTAGGAGACTCCCAGCTAGAGCCATCCTCTGGGAACTGTTATTAAAAAACATCTTGTTTATAGAGAGGAACGTACCGAGGATGCTGCTGTTCATTCTAACAGCCTGCTCTGTACCTTAGAATAAGTGATTTTGCAAACCCAAAGAAAGCAGGATAGCATTACCAAAAAGGAAAAAAAAGAAACGGTTGGGGCGGGGGGATAAACTGACAAAGAGAGAACTGACTAGGGATAGTAGTGCTAAAAAGAGCTAGGTCATAGCCATATTGTTGCTGTTGATGCTATAGGCATGATGCTATCGCAATGCTTCCCACAGGAAAAGGTGTCTAAGGTGGATGGTAAGCAGTGCCCGCTAAGGGGACATGGCTTTTGGAAAACAAAACAAAAAAACAAACAACGATTTTTCGAAGAGCAATCAAGGGAACTCTCTGGAGTTGATTTGTTAAACAATTTTGAAACAGTTTTAAGTCCCAGAGTTTTGAGAGAAGCTGTTCTTGTTTGAATGTATGAAAGGGAATAAATGAAATGAGCTGGGCAAGTCAGTCTGACCCTGAACCCACTCAGGGGGTGGAACAGCTAATGTGGGGCCTAACAAGAAATACTACAGGAGAGGTCATACCTTGCACATGATGTTTTGTTGAATGCAAGCTGAAATATGGTTGGGAAGGTAAAACGAACCCTGTAATATATTTACATTTTCTAAGGCACCTGGCTTGTTAATGCAACGTGATTTTTTGAGTAAACTACAAAATTGACATACTGTATTAAGTCAATATAAAACTGATTCACTTCTTGGCTTCAAATGTAATTACGGAATAGGAATCACTGGCGCATGACAGTGTGTGATGTGTAGCCCAAAAAGAGCTGGGCCTTGGACCCCCACTGTCCAACATAAAATCTCTGCTGGTGCAAGCACAGATGACTAGAGTGGGAGGCAGATGATAAAGAGAGTAGACTCATTGGTACAGAGCTACTTCATTGTGTTGGTAAACAGCATTTGGAGTAACAGTTTGCTGCAGAAAAGACAAATTTAGGCAAAATGGAGTGGGCTCAGAGAAATGCCATAAGAAGCATGGAAGATTAAAAGCAATATTCTTTTAGTGAGGGAAAGAAGAAACTCAGTTTGTTACACCTGTTGAAAGAGATGGTTTAGGAACACTTGGTAACAGTCCATGAGGGACCGCAGGAAGGACAGAGATGGGACTATTAGTATAGATTTGATGTTTCTCTAAAAGTGGGGCTGTAGTTCAAGCGCAGCTATTAGACTTGGCACAGAAATAAATGCAGGCAAGTCCTCCAGCAGCGTGACACAGGCAGCGAGAACAGACCATCGCAGCAGTCTCTTATCCTTAGAATCCATGAAAAAGCAATTTAATAAAAAGAGTGAAAAACCAATTGCACACTTAATTTGGTCTACATCAGTTTAGATTAATGCCATAGGAAAAGCTAAATCAATATAAACTAGATATAGCTCCAGTGTAACTAAATCAGCAGAAGACTGCACCATTAGTTAAATGTAACCATGAAGAGAAACCCCAAAAGGCAACCCCTGGTACCTCTGGAGCTGGCAGCTCCGGCATCGCTTTGGAAGTCTCACTCACTGCAGAGGAGTCTGGACACTCTTAATACGGCAGCGCTCTTCACCTAGTCTGCAAATGTCTCAGTTCACCTCAGGGTGACCCTGGCAGTGAAACATTTAACTAATGACAGTATTAAGTGGCTGAAGGGAGGCAGGATAGGGCTGGAGAGACACGGATTGGTGCTCAGCGTTGCTGGAGTCATGAGTAAAGACACGTAGACTTCTGTAACCGTAAATATTGTCAACTGCAGTGTACAGTGGTAAGGAACTTAGCCTCATTTTAAGCATTTTGGTTCCTGAATCTTAAATCTGAAAATAAGCTATAATTGAAGTAACCTTAATTATACACAGCAGGCAAGATTCTCTAATTGATTTATGAATTAACTTCCATATCACTGGTGTATCGGCATGCCTTAGCTGATCATACGGGCTTTTTATGCCCATAATGGGAAATATTAATTACCTTCATGCACTAGGAAGGATAATGCTTAGTCCTGGAATAATCTGAGCAGATACGTTAAACACTTGTCTCTTAGAAATTCATCCCACATCCATCTGTGCTCATTAAATTGTCAAATTGCTCAGAAGTACCAAATTATATTTTTTTTAAAACAAATTACAGTTTTCAACCCGCTTGTTCTTTTCACATCTGGCAATGGAGGAACTTGCATTCAACATCTCTCAGCTCCATATTTTGCTTTTTTGCATTTTGGGGCATTTCATCTGCACAGTAGGAGCAATTCTGTGAAAAAGAAAAGGGAGAGGAGGAAAAAAAAAAAAAAAAGGTTAGATAAACAGATTCAGATGCTGGCTGAAATTTTAAAAAGCTGCAGAGCATTTCAGTGCACTTAGCTGTACTTGGCTTTCTGTCTCCCAACGCCCATCTGTGCACATAGAGACAGAGCACTGAAAGGTTGGAAGAAGTAGCACATTCCTTAATATTTACAGCATCTGAAATGAGGCTCATGCAGGCGGTAGAGCCTCGCTACTTCTCCCATAGAGGCTGGCTTGCAGCTCCAGGCCTCGCCACGTGCAGGCTGCTGATCAGAACCTAGCCCTTGTGCCCCTCGCCGTAGCAGGGGTGTGTTAAAAGGCTCTAATTGCTTGCAGCTTCGTGCTTGCAATTGCACAGAAAAATTACCTATTCTGCTGCTGTGCAGCATAGGCCGTCCTGGGGACGGCAGCCGGCAGAAAGGAAGGCAAATTGAGCCTCACTTTCTCAAAGGCTCAGGAGAGCAAGGAAAACAATTATTTTACCTTACCATGCTTCACGTTTCTAGAACTTCCTCCAGAACCTGTTCCCTTTAGGATGGCTGGAAGCTAGTCCCAGCTCTCCTGTTAGGCCGGATGCTTCCCCCGCTTGCCGGGATGGCCGGCATCCATCTCTGCCTTCAGGGTGCTTTGGAAAGGCACCTTCCTCAGCCGCTCGCTGAGTCTGAGCAGCGGCGCAGGGAAGTTCCCCAGTGCTGCTCCTGTCACTTTGGGCTGCCGCTGAGTGAACACCCCAGCAGGCTGCTCGTGCTTCTCACGCTCTTTTCCAGCTCCTGTTGGTGCAAGAAACAGGGCCTGGCCGGGTGCTCCTGCTCCGTGGTGCCCTGCAGCATGCAGGGCCGGAGCCCGCAGGCTGCTGTGTGCACGGAGCAGGGGGGCACACGCTGCTTAACAGCACCACAGCAAGACGCTTGCCTGGCTGCCTCCCTCGGGAAAACGTGCGGGTGCCTTCGGCAGAGCGGGAGCGCTGCAGAGGGTGCCTGCCTGGGCACGAGTCAGGTCCCCTGGCTGGCTGGCACCGTGCCAGAGGCAAGCCTGAGTAAAACGTGTCACGCATTGGTGACCCCTTTATAGTAACTGGCACTAATTCTGCCGTGTTCTATCCTGATGAAGCGGTTATAGCCTGGCGCATCAGTGCAGTCTCTGCAGGGTTTTCATGGGGCCCTCAAGCAAACTGTGATAACCACAGTGCTGTAGAGTGAGAACAGCGCGGGGGGCCTTGCACCTTACACCCCTTCATGAGCTGTCATGGGCTCTTTCTGCAAATCACTGCCATGTTAGAAACTGAGCTCCCTCCTCAAGGAAGCGCTCGAGCCCATTGCCCTTCACCGCCATTGGCTTCAATCTCGCCCTGTACATGTATCTTCTTTGCTAAAAGGGAAAGCAAAGAAAGGGCTTTTTCATTCCTGGAAAGTGATGCTGGAGGAATGACCCCCAGGAGCATGTTCTGCCTGAACAGTGACATGCAAGCACGTGGTTAAGTGATTCTCTGATTGGGAATACCTAATTGAGAGACTAGAAATAACCACCTCAGAAACTGAATCCTGCAGTATTTCCAGCAGAAGGGCAGAAAGATCCCACTGAGATCTGTTCGTCTAAGGCTGCTGATTCAGACACGGTAATATGGAAAGTGGTAAAGCAGCTTTTCGCTCTTGGTGTGTAAAGGAGCTTTGCAGGTCTCTGCAATCTGTCAATGAGGGGATAGTGAAATAGAGCTCCACTGACGAGTAAGAGAGTGGGCTACATGCTTTATTTTCACTGATGTGCTGTCCCCACACAAAACTAGGTTGGCATCCCTAACACACAAGTGTCCTGTTTGTTCTGCCTGAAATACTTGCGTCCTTAGAATACTTTTACAAACAGAAACTTGCATTCAGCTTCCAAAACCAAGCACTCTGAAGACAAAATGTGTCCAGGTTGAAGGTTGGCCCTGCAGTCCTAATTTTCTTCATTGTGTCTCTATTTTCTTAAGTCTCTCTGGCTCCACCAGTGCCCTGGATGCACGTATGCACTCTGGGAAGCAAATATTCAGTACTTTGTTTTTTCACTCTGTGTCCAGGCTGGAGCCCAGCCCTTCCATAGTTACTGCTCAGTTCTGATGAATGCCGTTCAACGTCTACCTCTGCATGAAAAGTGTAGACCAGACAACCGATTCCTGCACACCTAGCACGAGTGCACGGGAGGAGCCTCGCTCTGTGGAAAGTGCTGCTGAAGTAACTTGCCCTGGGTCAGGCTTTGCAGCTGGAGGAGGCAGGGAATGCACTTTCCCAGCACAGCGTTCACCTGTGCCATGCAGTGAGTTTCTCTGGAGTCAGTCCCTAGGTATCTTCC